AGTTTGTTAAATGGCTTCTGTGTAGGCCTTTGTGGTTGAGGACAACAAACAGCTGATCCTAGAGGGCCAGCTCCATGTGGCACTGCAGACCATCGGCAAGGAGGCCACTTCTCTCACTCCTAAAGAGGTCAGTACTCACTCACCCTCTCGCACACTTGCACAAACAGAACACCATCAAATAAAAATCTTATAAATAAGCCAGAGGACAATGTAGTGGACAATATGTTCTGTTGTCTCAAATCACATCTTGTGTAAACCCACCCAGAGCACTGAAGCGGCTGCTGCTGTTTAACTAACATGCTGCTCACACTACACCTCCTCAGTAGACCTGGTGTTACATTTGGATTTACATGACTACACATTTTGCCATCATTACAATTCCTAAGCCAGTGTATCTAAAACAATCTTATGTAATGCCTCCTATCTCAGTAGAGATTCACAACTGTTTAGATAAGGTCATAAAAAGAGAGATGATATGTGAGTAAGTGTTGTGCACTGTAACTTTGTGTGTGTTTGTGTGTGTGTTGCTGTTTCAGGAAGCTCAGGAGATGGTGCTACTCAAGTTTAAATCAGAGCTACCTCTTCCAGTCGCTCTGCCCTCTGTAGAGCTGTCCCAACTCATCAAAACCAACCTGCACTACCCTGAGACCTACACACATCCGTTTTTCCAAGATAGGTGAGATACACACACATTCACATTTCAGGCTGGTATTTTCAAATTTACACACACACACACAAAGCAGTCTCGGCAGTTTTTCACAAACAGTGATTCACTTACAATCTTTACACATGTAGGGAACACGGAGACATGACAAAATATGCTACACAAGCTAAGTTAAAGACAGACCTAAGAATGGTAAGCCTGAGAAGTTACAAGAAGTCTTTGCTGTTTCAGTACCTCATCTCCAGTTCCTCTGTTTCCGACAAAAAAAAGAAAAAAGGGGCCACGCAGGCTGACGTGGAGATGAGGGTTAGAACCCCAAAGTTTTAACAAAAAACGATGACCAATGCTGTCTACACAAGGGGCAGTGAACAAAGATTACCTAGAGCTTGGCACTGGCCCCCTTTAAAAGATGCTCCTGTACTCACGCTTTGACATCAATTTGTGGGCGGGTTTTCCAAAATATGTGAGGATGTATCCTTTACATCACCAAACATGAAACCCATTTAATATGTGGAAATGGAAATCTTGAATACATGTAATTGCTTTGTTATACAGTATATGAAAGATATATTTTTTACCAAACCAAAGTCAAATGAAAATAAAATAAAACATTCCAATATATTTTTTAGGATACTCACTTTGAAAATAGTTTTTCTGACACAAAGTTTGGAGGGAAACAGTCTGTTTCTTGGTTTGATGGCATTGAACCCATTGGGTGTCTTACAAACTTGCCTACATTTGGACAGGCTGCGTAGCATTGCTCAACTGTCTAAAGCACAACTTTGTCTGTTTAAGATGTTTCGAGCCTGTGTGTGGTACAGTTCTTCTGACTTGCCATAGAATAAAGGTTTAGATGGCTATAACTGAAAATGATCAGTCAGTGTCTTGGGTAGAAGCTAGAACCTCTCTCTTACATCTGAACAGCTCAGTGAAGCTTGTTTTCTGTCTCTAGTCTCTGTCTGGTGCCAGTTACTCTGACCCTGTCCAACTGCTCCATGGCTCAAGTGGACGTCTTCATTGACTTGCGGCACAAAAGCACCAGGTAAGTTTCCACAAAGACAATTTGTTGTATGTATGATATGATCCCTCTCTTCACAACCAGTATGGAGGAGGGAGGGTTGAGTACAGATACCTGCGGCTCCTTCAATGTTCTCACAGACTTCTGATAGTTGTGTCAGGGCTGTAAATATCTGAACCTGTCCTTAAAGGGTTAGATGTCTATAAAGAGTGGCAACTTTTGTTAAAGACAGGAGGAACATGTCGACAATCTGAATCACTATAACCTCTTATGTGTGAAATTCCCATAATGCAACTTGGTTGCATCTTCATTTGACCCTTCCTCAGTTAACACTCAAACTCCTGATATGTACTTTGTAAAACAGGCTCTGTTGTGAATAACATCAAGGTTTGGTCAAGTTTTTCCAGAGTCAAGAAAGACATCACTGAAGAGTAATCATCAGGTTCATATCCTTATGATGAAGTGAGCGAACAGCTCATCCCAAAACAAGTTTACCTCCTCACATGTTGAAAATATAAGCTGAGTTTTGACTAGGTGAGGTCACATTGCGATTCATTGAGACAGCTGAACCATCATCACATGCTGTAGTGTACACCTCACAAGTCTTGGGTTAAGTGAACCCATTTCCCCTGATCTTGATCCACCTGTGTGTTTCAGCCCAGAGTCTCTGGAGGTCCACAACTCATTCACATGGGTGGGTCAGACCCAGTACAAGATGCAGCTGAAGCCTCAGGAGGTGCTCTGCCTGACGCTGCGAGCCTGCTTCCTCCAGGCAGGAGTCTACAACCTCAACACGCCCAGGGTCTTTGCCAAACCGGCCAAGCAGGCGGCTCTGAGTGAGACGAGTCAGCAGACGGCTAGTCCTGCTCTCATCATCATCAACAATGCCTGAGAAGAGGATCCTGGGCTGCAGACACGGAGTCTGGACTCTATGGACAAACAAACCAATGACCAGTCTGCCGGCCAGCTTATACACAACCATAATTGGTCTTCTTGAATAATACTGGACAGCAGGATGTGCAGATGTTTTTGTATGGATTATTATAGAAAAAGGTTTATTTAAAACAATGACTGCAGTTTCTGCAGACTGGTGAGCTGATGTTGACAGTTTATAAGCCTCAGAACTATTGAGTTTCATCAACAAGGCATCAAAGAGTTTCACTTGCACGTGACTTTTTCTGTACACAGCTCTATCATCATCCTCCCCCTCCCCCTCCTCCTCACACAGGTTTACCCTTGTACCATCTGGACCTTCATACTAAAACTTTCTCCATCTTCCCCTGTCACCAGCGTCTCAAACACCCACATGTGATAGGAACCTAATTCATAAATGTTTTGCTGGTGTTAGACCAGAATATTGACTCTTGTGTAAAACTAAAGCAAAGTCAGCTGCTCCTCTTGTGAACAAGGCGTGTCCGTGTTGAGCCACACTACTAGAGGGCTCCCATCTCTGTTTGGTCCATTTCAGTTGGACTGGTTTTTAAACCTCAGTGGAAGGATGCAGTCTGTTGAATGGACTGAGCAGTTCTCTTTCTGTGACATCCTAATAAGCTGTTTACATCCTGAATATTGTACATCTCACAACTCAGCTGCCTTCTGATTGAGTCTACAGCTGTAAAGATGGAGGCAGACAACTCAACCTTGTCTTCCTGCCATTTCTCAGTGTGATCTACACCCTCATTACCACAGGCAACCAACAATGTCCTCATGTGCACACAGTTGATTTCCTCAAGTCCAGTCAATCAGAACCGCCCCCTCCTTCTACCCCATCTCTCTAACCTCACTGTATTGTGATCAAGCTCTTGTGTGCATTGACTTGACAGCTTTTCTGAAAATGATGTAATATATTTATATAACAAAGTGGATGTAAATAGTAAATAAAATGTAACTAATGATACTTTATGTATTGTAACCGACTCATATCTGGACAGCTAAAATATATAAAACTATAGCTATGCCATTACAGCTCAAGGTACTTAACTTCTTTCTTGTACCATCTAATTAAACGGACAAAGTGGCTATTTCAGTGGCTGAAAATAAAGCAATTAAGAAAAAACCCAATGTACTAATACTTAAATACTTAAAGTCAAGTTTCTCAGAGGAGACAATGCTAGGAGGAAACACATGACTCAGTAACTTGATGATCTTTTGGTTCTTCTAAAACAAAAAACACCAGAGGGATGATACTTACCCTGCATTCACACTATATCTAACTTATACTAATAATGCCCTTTCATAATGATGCCATGCCATGATGTCATGTATAGCACATGATCATGAATGATTGGTTCATCTAAATATTTTGTACAACCACATCACATTACTACGCTACATGGCTTTATGATGACGTTCTTCCTACTGTATGATCATAAATTAGTTTTCAATCTATTGTAGGCTTTAGGTCCTTTCTATAGTCTTATAAGACACAGAGATACCTGAGACATTGTGAATTCCTCATGACGTCACATATCACATGACAGCATAATGATGCAGAATCTTTTTCTTCAGTTCAAGCTTTACATTGTCCCCCTGCTGTTTGTGGAAATATTTTGGTAAATAATTATTTTGGAGCATATTTGGTTGACTTTGACCTTTAACAGATCAAACGTCATCATCATCTGGAGATACTTGCCCAAATATTACATGTACCATGAAGTCCGGTGAAAATCCTTCCATGCTTTGTCAACATATTTTGCGTACATACACACTCATAACTACTGTACATTCTGATGAAAGCTCGATTCTGATGGAGATCTGACCTTAGGGAGCATCCGTCAGGGCTGTCCAGCCTCTCCATCTTTATTCTCTTGACAACTTATCACCAATCTCATTAAAAATAGCAAACTAAACTGAACATCTGTTGAAGATCAATATTATTAGTCAACTTGTGTGAATGCCAGTCAGTGCTCATTGTTAACAAAGTGATTGAGTCGCTTCTGGTCTTTGAACCTGAATAAATAACTTTTTCCTTTTGTAACACACCTCATGTCTATAATGTCCCAGTCAAAGAAAATGTTTCTCTATGGTCATCACCATCATGAACAAACATGATGCTCTAAAAACTAAAGCTAAATTATTGATGGGATGAGGAAAAATCTAAGATCATTGGTAATAAAATCATTTTACAGAGCTGTTTTCATTTAGCCCCAGAGCCTGGATTAATGTGATCAGTATCAGTTCACCTGCTGTCAAAATAGCCGCAGTCATCGTGGAGAGACATTAGCATCCTCCTAACTAAAAATGGGATTGTTGTTGTGGCAGTGGGCTGTAATTCAGTCAGTACAATCAGACCTTTAACAAACACTGACAACTGTCAGCTCACATGTGATTGAATTTAATAAAAGTGGAACATTAATCAATTTTTCAAACAAAATATTCATACAGTGGTAAAAAAATACAAGTGAAGATCCTGAGATATCTTGCAGGTCAGCGCTGCTTCTCTGCAGCTACATATCTAAGTTGAAAACCACCACCACTTCTCTCCGGTGACTTGAATCATCTGGTGGTTGATCAGGCGTGCTAATTCTTAGTGACCGACAAAAACCAGTCCTGTGCTCCCTTGTGATTCCGTTTGCAAGCAGTCTGTCCATCAGCAGTGAGTCAGCATCAGTCTGCTTGCTCTGGGACAACCTCGTACTGCGGTTGCTGTCTGTAGAGACAGTAGTGCTGAGCCATGAAAAGGATGTCAAACACCACGGAGAACAAGCCCAGACCAAACTTTGTAGGATCGCCAAATATCAGCATCCACTCATCTGAGGAGAGACACAGTGCAGTCAGTCACAAGTTTGTGAGACAAGTGAGGGTGGATGTTTTATGAGCAGCATGTGGTAATTGTGCAATTCAGTGCTGAGGCTCTGAACAGCATTGTTGATCATTTTGAGCACCACTTTGATCTCACAGCAATTTTTTAACTGAACCAAATGTCACAGCAGTCATTCATATTCCCCTAACAACTGGTGGAGCAGACAGAAACGTAATGAGGTTTTCTACCTGAACTCACGGCTCACAGGGAGAGGGGGACTAGAGCTAGTGCATGATCATTGCCCCACAGTTAGACACAGTTGCTGACTGCTGCAGTTGTTCACTCAATGACGTAGAAGAAAACATGTTCAACTCGGTCCACTACTGCCCGGTGGCACGTTGTCCCTCCCTAAATAACTGCTAGAGCTCTGGTCGCCTGTGTTTCAATTTCAGAGAGAGAGAGAGAGAGCATAAAACAGGACAAACCGTTGTTGTAAGACTGTAAAATCATCTGTAGAATACTGAGGGTTCCTCCAATGAAGTCCAACAGCACATTGCCAATACTCCACCCATCAGTGCTCTGTCTCCTGTAGTTCATGTACGCCTGCAAACACATCCACAAATCAGAGATAACTGCCGCGATGAACAAAATAATCACATTTACAACAACATGATACTGGACTGAGTTTTGTGGAGTAGCATAGGATGTGTTAAGATTTTACAAGAAACATGGAATCAATGACACTTAATAGCATTGTTTTTATCAGTGTATTTTCCTATACGCACGCACGCACTTTGAGAATATTGGAATTTTTTTTACCAAATACACTTTTCTACAGCTTTTTATTTTCACTGTATTTCCTTCTTTGGGTCTCAGTGTGTATGAAAGCTGCTTACCTGAGGCACGTATTTGATCAGAGTGACTGCTAGTTTAATGTAGGAGAAATAGTAGAGGTAGTCCAGCCAGGTGATCTGTTTTGCTACACCTAGAAACAAGCTCACTAGAGCAAACGTCCAGGCAACTAGCAACAAACACCGGGCCGTCCAGGAGACCTTTTGACCCCCCCTCTGAAGGAGAGATGACACAGAGGATTACAGACATTTACACACATATGAAATCAACTACTGTAATCTGTAGTATGTTACTTTTTTCTAATATTTAATTGAAACGTTCTCAACACACTAATATTTCTAGAACAATGGCCCACAGGGGAGAATTAAAACAGAGAGGTTTGAATGTCTGAACACTCCTCAGTGTTCCACTCAAGGTGTTTGTGTTCTTCACACATATTTCTCATTTGTTGCTTTGTTGATATTTCTTATGTCATAATGTTGTGTGTTAATCACACAATGGCTGTACACACCACACACACGTCTCCTGAATAGTGTATATTAGTAGAGGGAAACTGCTTCACTTCAAATACAAACAAAAAACTGTCCTAGTTTAAAAAAGCATCATTAAGCCATAGAGGAGCCATTTTTGATCCTCCATTGATTCTTCTTTGAGTCCCAAAATATAAAAGTTACATTTGTAAAACATCCACTCTTTCACAGTCGCTCACCTCATACAGGGCAGCCTGGCAAATATACACCAAACAAAGCAAGACAGCATGGAGACTGAAGAAGACGTCATTAGCATTGACAGGGTTAATTCCATTAGGGTTTTTCATCAGAAACTCTTCCTGAAGGGCAGACACACAGAAGTTTATCAGGGAATCATTCATCACTCAAAGACTGTGTCTCGAAACATAGGCAAGCTTCAGGTTCAGCTACTGCATGACAGCTCTAAACTCAACTCAAATATACAGAAACACTTTGTTTCACTCTGAAATGACTTGAGACTCAAACCCAAACAGAAACCTGAGAGTGAAATCCCCCCATCTGCATGCTGAAGTGTCCTTGCACAAGATGCTGAACCCCAAAGTGCACCTCAAATAAAAAAGTGCTGCTCATAGATGCACTGTATGAATGAATGGGTGAATGGTCAAAAAAACAACCTGTGCTGTAAAGCAGTTTGAGTGGTCATCAAGACCAGAAAAGCTCTATATAAGTACGGACCATTTACCATTAAGAAATGTGACAATGTATCAGATCAGTAAAACATAAACAGGACTGAAATCACCTGTAAACAACGACATGTGCCATACGGCCAATGTGACTGACGTAAAGTAGGGGTTGGATACCTTTATATATGGCACCCAGAACAGCCCTATGTTGAAGACACTGTAAGCGATGAAGCCTGTTAGGTTGAGAGCCAGGAAGTCGAAGTTGAGCCCTACAACACTTAAAACAGAAATGTTTGAATTATTGGTCTGAGGCCATTTATTTTTCACAATATTTCATACAGTTCCTTCATGTAAAGCCAAATCAGACATCATATGCTCAGAACACGAGTCAAATACAAGGTGCAATGTTCTAAGTTGTCTACATGAAAATACCAAAAAATAAAAGCTGAAATTGTTAACTCTTGTGTCTCATTTGTCTTTTCAGCTCAAAGACAAATCTCTAGAAGCATCCTTAGAGGCAATGTTTGAACAATCAAATACAAATGACATAAAATAGTCAAAAGTCTGAACAAAAAAAAGATTCCTACGTGTTGAAAATGCTGACAGTGTATTTGGAACATCTCAGCTTGATTCTCACATGTCACCTCTCACTCCTTGTTAATTCCTGTCTGTTTATAAACTAAACCATATGACAAATAGAGAATGTGTGTGTGAATGGGTGAATGGCAAAACTGTGCTGTGAAGCACTTTGAGTGGTCATCAAGACTAGAAAGTCTCTATATAAATACAGACCATTTACCATTTATAGACACACAGCATTAAATGAATCTGTTTCACCTGAAGTCTGTTGAAGCATGACTCAGTTTGAGTGCATGCATACTGTACAATATCTGATGCTACATAACCAAAGATTCTGATGCAAAAATCAAGCAGTACAAGAAAATACATATATCTCCACAGAGAAAATATTTAAGAAAAGCTACCTTTTTCTCTTCCAGTTTTCCCACGCTTGTGGATAGAAGGACACCGACCAGGCCAGGAAGTAAATCCAGCCAATAACCTGACTGATTACCAACAGGATGTTGCTACGGATGACCATAAAACGGATCCTGACCGACAAGCTGAAGGAGAGAGAGTCAGGCTTACACACAAAGAAACAATACTGTAGAAATATACCATGATAGTATTATTATTATGTAAAACAGGCCATACATAGTCATAGAATCTCAGCACGCAGTAGACAAAACGCATGGGTCATAGAAACCCCCACACCCAGGTGTTCTGGTAGATCCCTGCCTCTCACTGAGCACAACCATCATCGTTGACCCTGGTCAAGCCTATAATAAGCCATTCAGTCCATGTTCGCTGATTCTAGATGTATTCATGTAAAAAGCACTGTCTGATCTGTGCTCATCGCATACTGTGTCTAAGACGTGATGTAAAGAAGTGTCTTAATCTCATTAATGCTGAACACACAACTGAAACGCTTGGAGAGTCTTCTGAATTGGAGGCTGCCCACCTCTGCAGTCCCACACACAGTGACATATGAAAGCGGGCATGTCTGTGGTGGGGACAAATAAGTAATGACCTCATCTTGTCACTGCCATCTTACTTTAATATTTTGTTAACTGTAAGACGAGTGGACAAGACAAACCTCTATTTCTCCATTGTACTCTGTGGACAGAGTGACTCATGTTGAACTGAGGCTGGGAGAGTGGACTGACAGGAATTGTTAAAAAAGAGGGAAGTATAAGAATAGGTTGACATATTTTTTTAAGTTCCTTTTCAATAAAATAATATTCACAAGGCCATTGTGCTGCTATAATTGTTCCTTGTTGCAGAGGCAGGGACTTTTCTATTGACAACACTAAGTCTGGACAAGATCCACTGACTGTGTAGCACAGTGCTGAGGGCTCATTAGCTTCTGCTGAACTGTAGAATATATATTTAGGGTTGGTCTCTTCAAACAAATTAGACAGTGGATCATGATGATGGATTATGATGGTGTTTCTTCATCGTGATGGCTGTTGATCATGGACTATGGTTACAACAAGACTGCTTGATATACAATATATTTACTCAGATATTCTGCCTATGCTGACAATAACTCCTCAATTAATTTACCTTCCATCATGCTACAAACTGTTTACTCTAATCAATGCTGTTATTACTCTTATTTTTCTTTGTCTCCATTACACGTGGCATCTATTTCACTTCTGTCCGTCCTGGGAGAGGGATCCCTCACATGTGGCTCTCTCTGAGGTTTCTACGTAATTTTTTGTCTCTGTTAAAAGGTTTTTTTTTACTTTTTCCTTACTCTTGTTGATGGTTAAGGGCAGAGGATGTCACACCTTGTTAAAGCCCTATGAGACAAATTGTGATTTGTGAATATGGGCTGTACAAATAAAATTTGATTGATTGATTGATTGAGATCAAATTTGGATGTGAACCTATCCCAGCAGACTTGTGTCAGTGCATGCTGTTGCTTTGCTGATACCCACCTGTTGAAGTCAGTGTTGTTGCTAAGTAGGTGTGTGGTCACCTGACCGACATCACGGGCTGTCACATTGAAATTGACTGAGGTTGCTTCAAGTGGCAGGAACACCTAAACAAGAACAACAACAACAACATGAGCGGGTGATGTGATATTTTTGTCGACCCTCTTGAATTAAAGCTGAAAAGTTCTACTTCAATCACATCTTGATTGCTTGATTTCAAATCCATTGTGGTTGTGTACAGAGGCAATTGTGTCATTGTCCAAATACATATGAACCAGTCTGTGTTTGGCGTGACACGTTACCTGCTCAGGCACTGTGATTACAGATGTGTAGTTGGACTTGGAGCTGTAGGTGACATTTAACTGAATCACAGCTGACTGGTTGACAGGGGAACTGGAGACAGACACAAACATTCAGTCAGAACAACACTGATCCTGACGGCTGCTTTTACAAGAACAGGAATTACCAGGATTTGGATTTGGCCTCTCTAACTTGATTCTGCTGTGTCAACACTGTGGTACTGTGTAAAGTGTGGGTGTTTACTTACAGGTTATTTGGCCTGCTTTCATTTAAGAATCAAGGGCTGAAAACACAGCTGAAAAACAGCCGTCTTAGATGTTTTCAGTTTAAGCTACCATAGCACCACTACAGAGTGTGCTTTTTCACCAACACAGTCTACTTTCATTTGACGGCAGCACAGAGGTTTCTGTTACACACAGCATCTAATAGACATTTGTCCATCCGGCGAGAGAGATCCTCACATGTGATCCTCTCTGAGGTTTGTACCTTTTTTTTTTTAAAGGGGTTCAGGGGAGAGGATGTCCTGTCACACCTTGTCATGCCCAATGACTTTAACTGTTGTGTCAATACAACTGATGTCTGTAGGATGTTGAAAGGCTTAGAGGAGACTATGTCAGGCTACACAAACTGCAAATAACTAAAAGGTCAAGAAAATTGTTTAAGAAGATAAAGAAATAGTTTCCCGGTCTCTTGTGTCCCCCAAAAGAATAATGACTAGATCCAAGCAGTAACCTCAGTACAAGGATTTAAGCCCCAGTCTACTGTGAATACAACTTCTTTCGACTGATTACCTGGAAGTAATGGTGATGTTAGCTGCAGAGTGTTCCTCAAGTGTGATGGCAGCAGGAGCAAACAAATACACTCTGCAGTCTGTCGGACAAACAAGGACATTTAAAAAAAGCTATCAATCCAAGATGCTCACAAAAAAGTCTCCTGGTTGTAGTATGAACGGCATGATCATAAAGCATTATGAATCAATTAGTAAATAATTACTATAAAGCTGTTCACTTCATCGTGATCATCACGAGGTCACTATATACTTAATGGTGACTGAACACGACTCATTGAAACTTTTACAGTGAAGACATGAGACATTAAGAAGAGATGTCTTCACCAGAGATGTTGGGCAGTGTCCACAGGAGCAGCAGCTGGACAGATAACCACGTCTTGGCCAAGCCCAGACCAACCATCTCTGCAAAATAATGGATTTGCTGCCTGCCTGAAAAACAAAAGACACACAACGCATCTCAGGACTCACATACAGTCAACTCTTAAACACTCATAGATGAGAAAATGCAGGAGGAATGTGGTGCACATCAAACTATGAGCAAAAACTAAAAGTGAGTGGGATTTCACCATCTGATTTCACACATACAAATGCGATGCTAAGACCCAAAGCCTTTTTTGCTATGTGTTGTCGAAACGTGATTTTTGACATGACAGAAAACCTTTCCTCGGGAGGTGATCCCATTCTGTGGTGAACAACAAGTTTAGGTTTGACAACACCACTCACACTGAATGTCCTTAGCTCGTTGTCTCCTCCGCTGACACGGGGGAAACACAAGCCGTCAGGAGAACTGCGAGACAAGTGATCGCAGGTGGAACACGGACATTTACTGGATCTGAGCAAGAAACAATAATCAAACTTACTGCAGCTGTGTTGTTCCACTACTTCCGCATTGGTCACGAGACAAACCTCGTCTTGTTTGGATGAGACCTCTTTATATACAGTCTGTGGGTGAGACAGACTAGACGCTTCAATGGCGTAACACTGCCCTCTACTGTCCGTTAGTAAAGGTCCTTTAACAGCCATTTATAGTTTTTGTACAGATATTCCACTGATATCATCCAGTTGAACCAGACCCCCCTAAATTTGAAGTGCGCCTGTATTTAGACCTTCTATGGTTCATTGTGAAACATAGACTGCAAATAGAAAGTGACATGCTCTGTTACAAGTCTGTCTGTCCTGTCCCACCACATGTGGCCCTCTCTGAGGGTTCTCCCTGTTAATAGGGTTTGTTGGTAGTTTTTTCTTTCTCCTGCTGAGGGTTAAGAACAAAGGGTGTTGAAAGTGCTTTGCCACTCACCCATTCACCCACACATTCATAAAGTGCATCTATTAGCAGCACTTTCTGTTCCATGAGGGGCAATTCGGGGTTATTGCCCAAGGACACGTTGCCATGCAGAAGACTGGGGATCGAACTGCCGACCTTCTGGTTGGAAAACCGCTCTTGGGATATCACCATACCCTCACCGGTTGGAGGATGCATCATTTACACCCAAACCAAAAATAATCCTCATTCAGCATTACTACAGCAAAGTGTGACACATATACAAAAATAAAAGAAATCAGGAAGGGGGTGTTTGGTTCCAGCATCTCAGAAGTGGGCCAGTAAAAGCTTCTGTTTTCATCAATATCTATAGGTGATGGACAAAAACTCAAAGAAGCTCACTGGTACCGAGGAGGATTTGTAGCTTTGCAGTTTATCAGGTTACCTTGGACATCAACATGGATAAACCTGAGCACGTTCCAGAGCAGAACAGAAATACAGCCTTTAATACATCCTCTCTTATGCTCAGGTGGCTCTGAAAATTCCCCAGCTCTTTTTTTATGAAAAATGCTGATCGAATCAATGACCATGTTTTCCATTCTTTGAACATATTGTTGTCATGTCTGCCTTTGCCACCTGTTACCAGGTTCTAATAGTGTTCTGCTGACTTCATCGCATTAACTGATGTTAAAGTGGTGTTTGCCTGTACTTCCATAGTCCTTGCCAGTGTCCCTGACCTGTGGCCTCAGCCAGGGGACCTATAATCTCTGCTATTGCCTCTATAGTCTCTATGTTGCTATCACCAGTAGTAGTAGTCCACATATATATGTAGTTTTTAAAACAGAGTAAATAAATCCTACAAGATCTGATTATGCTTTAAGATTAGAATTCACCACATCAGAAGCAAATACTTCACAGCTCGGTATCTAAAAGACAATCAATTAAATCAACTTAACATTATCTCTGACAACAGTCACAGGAGCTGGCGCCATTTGTCATCACTTGTCGCATCAGCAACAAAAAATGTTAATAATCACAACTAATGAAATTCAACATCTTCAGTTAGAATATTAACAGTTCATGAGATGATTATCGTAAGTTAAGTATATATTTAACTAATACAGGACATTTGTGAATATTTGAAACTATTGTGCAAATGTTTCTGTCTTTTTGAATTGCCCTCCGGGGATTAATAAAGTATTTCTGATCTTCTGATTTAGTGTCAAAAGGCACGTAAGCAATGAGGGTCCATGCTGGTTTGAACTTACCAATAAGCACTGAAGTCCATTTCAGGAATGTCAAATGTGGCTAAAACAATGAATTAACTTCAGGGCTGAAAATGTTTGTTTAAAAATAACAACACATTTTTTTATGGTTAAATGATATGGAGCCGTTTGTCTGACTCACACTCCAACACGGTAGGTGGCGGTAATGCGCCTTAACGTTGGTTGCCACCTGATAAAACTCCGACCAAAGACAAGAAAGAAGACCATCAAGCGCTTCTGGTGCCCACACGGTAATGATTGTCGGAACCATCCTGCGCTGTGCTTAGTTTCAGTGGGACACTTACTGAGCGAACTCCAGAGGTTCGACCTTTGAAGTGCTTCCTGCCTGGCTGTGTGCTTCCCCTCCAGCAGCGGACCTCAGAGGCTGCGTCCTCAGGGCTGTCAACATGTTCCTGTCGAGGCTGTGCTCTCCTCTGTTACCGCGGTAAGAGCTCCAGACATGCTTCTTTACCCGTGTTCGAACAACGACACGGAGAGGAATACCGTATAATGTTAAATCACTTGTGACATACCACACAGTAGCTAACATACAACAAGGCTAACGGAGATATATGCTAGATAACATCTCTCTCTCTCTCTCTCTCTCTCTCTCTCTCTCTCTGTGTGTGTGTACGTGCACTCACAGGTGTGTTCGCCCCGTGGTCACGCGGACAGTGTCACCCTTCCACACCCACACAGCTCAGCTGGACTCGAACAGGACGTCAGTGGTGCGCTGTGGTCGGCAGAAGTATGAGAGGCTGTACCCGGTGATGCTGGTCCGTCCGGATGGCTCTACAGTGAACATCAGATACAAAGAGCCCAGACGCATCCTCATGGTTAGTGTTGGTCCTCACCTCCACCCTCTCTTTCCAGCGGTCGATGAAACCACATTTGGCTTGGGAACCGGAGGGTGGCCGGTTCAAGCCCAGCGTGGACCATGGGTATGGAAGGTGGACAGGTAGCTGGAGAGGTGTCCGTTCACCTCCTGGGCACTGCTGAGGTGCCCTTGAGCAAGGCACCATGCCCCCCAATTGCTCACGGAGTGCTTCTCCTGGGGCCGCCCATCACTCTACTCTACTCTACAATCTCTCTCCAAAAAAATTTGCATGTGCATGTCTTTGAGCCCTCTGTGTGTGGGGTTGTGGGTTTGAACTACATGTGTAAAAAAAGTGTAAAATGAGTGTAAAAAGAATTTCAGTTAAAGTTTAATCATAAGCATGCACTCCTATCTATGTGTGGAGGGGGTACCAAAGTGAAACTAAACATAAAATAATTGAATACTAGACCACCAATAATAATACAACATTTTCTGTCGTGTGTTGAACCTTCCTGCTCCAGTGGCGGATCTCCTGTTGTGTTCTCACACAGAGACTCCTTCGTTAGGGACATTTACGTTCACACCTTCACCTTCTCAGGAGAAATGTCAGAGGATCTCTGGAGTTCAGTGCATGTCTGAAAGCAGCTTATGTGAGAGACTGATGGAAGTTTTAGTGCCTTTCTAGTTTAGTGAAGAAGTTAACAGATGTACAGAGATAAAGATACGCTGCAGCCGCTGTCTTAGAAAGTGCTATTCTTGTTCTTTTGAGTGTGTAAATTTGGTCTGGTTTTCAGCTACATCTTAAAACATGTTAAATATATGTTAAACACATTTATATTAGCTTCAGACTCAAACAGATAAAATAAAACAGGAATACAAAATTTTAAAAATATTTCTTGTCAAAAACTTGTACAACTCACACAGCAGTAACACACAATACCAAATTCATAAGCTCCTTGTCCATAAGGGTGTTGTTCATGTTTTGTAAATTGATTTGTGTCTCTTTGTTTTGAAAGATGCCAGTCTGTCTATCCACTCTGTCTGAAGAGGAGCGCCGAGCACGACAGAAAAAGAGGGATGTGAAGAAGGTGAAAAAGGAGACGCCAGTCCACTACGAAGACGATTTCGAAGCTGACAAATATAGCCATTTCTGGAAGAAGAAATGATCTTGTATACAGTGAAGCAAGGCAGAGGCAACAACCCTTAAAATCGGACTCTCCCTTGAAGATTCCATGTGTCTGTATGCTGTGTGTTAAATTTGGTCATTTTCACTCCAGTTCAGGGATTCCTGCAGAAGATTCCAACAGGGTAATGAAACCCAGTGTAATGACATTTTATATGGCAGGATAAACTCTGCTCTTGAGTTTTACTGTGACTCTGGATTTCTTCTAAGAAATATAAAACAACTTATTGAAGCTGAAAACTCCATCAATAATAAGTTAATAAATAATTTCAAGGCTGATTATCCATGTGATACATTTTCATCAAATGGACAAACTTGTTGGAAAATGTTTGTGGGCCTGCTCGTGGCCTGGTCAGGCCTACACAACTTGCGGCCCTTCTGAATTTTCCTATTGCCTGCAGGACTCTGTGCAAATCAGGCTAATATCTATGTGTGATATAATAAAAACTAAGGTCTGTCTCCCTGCAGCCAAATCCGCTCCCTGATTTTCTCCTCTTCCTGTGGCTACATATTTGTGCATACATACACTCAGACATGGTGTGATCAGAACAAACACTGCGCTGTTTAAGTTAATAGTAAATATTTTAAAAAAAGCTGAAACAAAAGCTGTCTGTAGGCTGAATGATGATGTAGATACTGAGCTTGTCACCTTCCACTCAAACATGCTCTTCTTGTTACACTGACTTAACAGATTTCATTGGTTGTGGTGGATCTCTGTACCTTCCTGGTGTAATTATGCACATACATACTGAAACAGGAAACATTTACTTGAAAGTATCATCCATTAGAAGTCAGAGCATCACTGTATTACACACATGGCAAAGGCACAAACCAGTATTAGGTAAACTTGGCTATTTTTAATGCATTGGACACTTGGAACACTTGGAAAAAACGTATTGACCAAAGGAAGCAAAACAAGTAATCAAAGTCATTGAACTAACTGGCTTTATTCAACTCTTACTACTCCATCCAGTAGGTGGCGGTAATACAACATAAACCGGGCTGCCAGCCGACCAAAGCATACGAGGAGAGTATTTCTCGCGACACTTCCGGAAGTGTGTGTCCTTGCTAAAGCAGAAATGGGCTACTGGGACGTACCAGAGGGCACAGACTGCGTCGAAAAAACATGGATAGTCACCAAACTGGGCGCAGCTCTGGGTAAATATATCAGTACTAATCAAAACCAGTGTTCTGCCGTGCAGGTTGTAGATGTAGACGGTCGTGTCGGGCCGTGAATGCAAAGTGTTGAACTATCGTCCATGCTAACTGAACTAGCAGGTTAGCCTGGTACTGGTTCTAAAGCTGCTTTCAGATCATAACACAGACTCTGAACTAAACACATGTTGTGTTTAATTTGACTTCTGTCATTGTTTTGAGCCACTATCAGCCAATGTACCCCCTCACCTGTAATACATGTGGAGTTAACAGTGGGCAAACACTAACGTTGGTGTCAGATGATAAACGATGGTTTCACTGAACGAATTTAATGTTAATTGTCATCAAAACTCAGATAGTCCTAATCAGAGTTGTCAACATGTGACTGTGTTTTCAAATGGCTGGACCCAGTTTTGCACAGTCTCTGGGTAGAGTTGAACCTCTTTGTTATGGCGTGAGAGCATAGTTATAGTGTTTGTCTGTAATATGTGAAATACTTAATTCATTATTCCATGTCAATAATATCAGTTTTCATCTCACAAACATTCGTGAATACATTCAATATATCATTTGGTTCAGGTCCTGTTTACATTTTATTCATATCAAACAATATCATGAGTGAATTTACAATCTGTGCAGCACATGACGCCCTGGCAATAATGGAAAAAGTCCCTTTTCCATGATGGACAGACCGTACCTGAAATGTGCACACAATATAACAACAGAGTAGGTTTAGAGTATCACATACCTATAGTATACACACATACTCACCTCGAGCTGTAATATGCAATGTATTAATGTGTTATATGTGTGCATGTGACATTCGATGTACAGGTAGGTCAAATGTATGTTGCACTAAATCAGGTGTAGTATACTAACAATTTGAAGCCGCATCTGAATGAAAGGACCACTGTCTCTATTGTGAGTCTATGTAAATTGTTAGGCTGCACTCAGGTTTGGTCAGATTTTATGCCTGTTTTATATTTCTGCACATAACTGATAAAGAGCTTACACAAGTGGCCTACACCATTCCAACAGTTATATTTGTGTGCAGTTGTGTGATCTGATTAGTAAGACTGAGTCTGACTAAGAATCCAGCAGTCTATCACAGACTCTGTTCAGTGTGATGCTTTCTACATGAGTATAGCTTCCATAGTCAGCTGTGTGACCTATTGTTGATTTTAACTTTGTTAATATGTGTTTGTCTTTGTGTGTTCTTCTCCAGGCCTGGTTGGTTCAGCCTATCAAATAGTGGCACTCCAGCCTGATTCTGCGTTGGCAACAGTGCAGAGGGCGGCCAGCACAACTGTCAGCATGGGTACATTTTGTTATTATATATGTGAAGTTAAGAGCTGTGTGGTGTTAAGTGTCATGTTTTTGATCATACAGTAAAAGAGGTCCAGTTCCACTGGAGAAATTCATGAAAATGACAGACAGTGACAGTAATGTTAGACATCGTGCTCCTGAGCTGTGAACTCAGCACTAACAAACTCAGAGTTTTACACTTATCTTTAAATGTTCATTTGAGCTGTATATGAAGAGTGTAAAAATTAAGAAAAAGAAGAAACTCAGGTTAGAAATTGTTTGCAAAGACTTGATGTGTCTGACATCAGCACATGATTTGTTCTGTAACTGCTACTACTATTGATTGAAAACAAGGGACTTTTATTATTCATATGCACTTGCTGCATTGTCCTAAAATGAAAGCTGGAAGGAGGCACTTGAACCTCATTGTTTGATATTACATGTATATGCATCAAACTGTAAAATGCTTACATGGGTGTCTGTCTGTATTCCATCAGCCACCATGGGGGCTATTTTTGGTATGGCGACATGTCTCACTGCTCAGGCCCGTGAAGCTCCAGATGACCCACTGAATTACTTTATTGGGGGCTGCACCTCTGGAATCTTCCTGGGAGTCAGAAGTAAGTATCTGTTCTGGCAGCGAGGAATTCACACACCTCACATCATGTCCATACACATTGATGTCAACAGAGTGATGGAATTGAATGAGGGTCAGAGTTTAATGAGCCTCATTTCCATTTCGTGTCCACCCAATCTGTGTCTTTGAAACCAAAATGTCTGTTTTGTTTAAGAAATGTTTCAACACACCAGCTAACAATAAAATATGTAACCAAATTGACCATTTAGACACAAAAGAGTTGATTATGTTTTTATTAGTACTGGTTATTATGGTTTTGTTTGAATCTATTTCATCTTTTTCCTAAATTAATCCATATTTTGTGTGTGTGTGTGTGTGTGTGTGTGTGTGTGTGTGTGTGTGTGTGTGTGTGTGTGTGT